AGCAGCCAGGCTCAGAAAGACAAATATCACATGTTCTCACTCATATGTGGGAACTTAGAAAGTAGATCTTATGGAGGTAAAGAGTTGATTGGTGGTTACCAGAGGCTGAGAAGGGTGAAGAAGGAAGGGAGGATGAAGAGAGGTTGGTCAGTGTGTACAAAGCTACAGTTAAATAAAAGGAATAATTTCTAGTGTTTGATAGCATAGTAGAGTGACTATAGTTAACAATAACTTACTGTATATTTCAAAATAGCTAGAAAAGAAGATTTGAAATGTCCCCAACACAAATGACAACTGTTTGAGGTGATGGATATCCTAAATGTTCTGATTTTAACATCACATATATATGCATTTATCAAAATATCACATGTACCTTATAAATATGTACAATTATTAAGTGTCAATTTTTAAAAACTGCATTTAACAAATCTGAAAAATTGTTTCATCAGAACAAACTCCAAGCCCAGATGGCTTTTCTGGCAAATTTCACCAGTCAGTTAAGGCAGAAATAATACCAATTATATGCAAACTTTTCCAGAGAATTAAAAAAGAAAAAAAGCTTTCTGATTTGTTTTATGAGATCTGCATAACATTTTTATAAAAATCTGACAAAGACATCATGAGAAAAGAAACGTATAGGACAATCTTCCTCAGGCATACAGATTTCTTTTTTAACTTCAAAACAAAATACAAACAAAACAAATCTAGTAATATATTTTTTAAAAAGAACAATTATGATAAAGTTGGGTTATTCCAGGAGTGTGAGATTGGTTTAGCATTCAAAAATTAACCAGTGAATGTCTTGACATTGTGAGGCTAAAAATCATATAATCATAAAATGTTTCAACCACACAAAATGATAAGTATATTAGATAATGAATTTAATTGGCTTGATTTAATCATTCCACAATGTAGACGTATATCAAAACATCACATTTTATCCCATAAATATTTACAATTATTATTTGCCAACTGAAGATAAAATAAATGCAATGTTCACACATGATTTCAAAAAATAACACTTAGCAAAGTAGGAATATATGAGAACATCCTTAATCTAAAGAATAGTATCTATAAAAATCTACAGCTGGATTGCCTGAGCCTGCAGGTTCGAGACCCGCCTGGGCAAATTGGTGAGACCTCATCTCTACAATAAATCAAAAACTTGGCCAGGCGTGGTAGCGCGTGCCTGTAATTCCAGCTACTTGGAAGGCTTAGGTGGAAGGATCGCCGGAGCCCCAGCTGGACGAGGCTGCAGTGACCGGGAGCACGCCACTGCACTCCAGTCTGGGTGACAGAGTGAGACTCCAACTCAAAAAAAAAAAATCTACAGCAATCCATATTGTAATGCTGAAATGCTGGAAGCGTTCCATCTTAGAACAAGAGTGAGACAAAGATCTCTGTTATTGCCACTACAATTCAGCGATGTCCTGGGTTTCCTATACCATGAAGTGACGTAAGAAAAAGTAAATGAAAAATATAGGGGTTGCAAAAAAAGAAACAAAGCTATTACTATTTTAAGTGATATAACTGTATACAAATAATTTATAGTTTTGAAAAGCTACATATAAAATCAAAATACAAAATTTAGGTTTTATAAAACAGCAAAAGCAGTTGTTAAATAAAATGCCATTGACAACAACGTAAAAATGGTGAACACATTCACTAAACATACACTAAAAATTATAAAACATTATACACATAAATTAAATAAGGCCTATATGATATTGGCATAAAAACAGACACATAGACCAAAGGAACAGAATAGAGAGTCCAGAAGTGCATCCACAAGTATTTGACCAACCCATTTTTGACAAGAGCAGCAAGAATACACAATGGAGAAAGGACAGCCTCTTTAGTAAATGGCATTGGGAAAACTGAATGTCTACGTGCAAAAGGATGATATTGGGCCCTTTTACTTACACCATACACAAAAAAACTAACTCAAAATGGATTATAGTCTTAAATGTAAGATCTAAAACCATTTGACTCCTAGAAAAAATATAGGGAAAAACTCCTTGACATTGGTCTTGGCAATGATATTTTGGATATAACTTCAAAAGCACAGGCAAGAATGGCAAAAATAAACAAGTGGAGCTACAGTAAACTAAAAAGCTTCTGCACAGCAAAGAAAACAATCAACAAAATGAAAAAAGCAACCTACGGAAAGGGAGAAAATATTTGCAAACCACACATCTGATACGGGGTTTACACCCAAAATATACAAGGAATTCATACAACTGAGTAGTAAAAAAACAAATAACCTGATTTTAAAATGACCAAAGGGCCTGAATAGACATTTCTCAAAAGAAGATATACAAATGGACAATAAATATATGAGAAAGTGCCCAACATCACTAGTCATCAGAGAAATGCAAATCAAAACCACAATGAGATATCACCTCACACTTGTTAGGATGGCTATCATCAAAAAGACAAGCAGTAAGTGTTGGCTCAGGTGTGGAGAAAAGAGAACCCCCCTGTACACTGTTAGTGGAATGTATATTGGTACAGCCATTATGGAAAACAGTATGGAGGTTTCTTTAAATATTAAAAATAAAACTACCATTTGATCCAGCAATCTCACTCCTGGGTATATATCCAAAGCAAATGAAATCTATGTCAAAGAGCTATCTGCACTACCATGTTTATTGCAGCTCTATTCACAATAGCTAAGTTCTGAAATTAATTCCAGTGTCCATCAATGGATAACTGGATAAAGAAAATGCGGCATATACACACAATGGAATACTATTCAGTCTTAATAAAGAAAAAAATCATGTCCTTTGCAACAATGTGGGTAAACCAAGAAGGTGCTATGCTAAGTGAAATAAGCCAAGCACAGGAAAAAACAAAAAGCTACTGCATGATCTCGCTTATATGTGGAATCTAAAAAAGTCAACCTCATAGAAATACAGAGTAAAAGGGTGGTTGCCAGGGATTGGGAGTGCAAATAAATGAGAAGATGTTGGTCAAAGTGTGCAAACTTTCAGGTGTAAGATGAACAAGTTCTGTGGATCTAATGCACAGTATGAGTAGTGATGGATTTGTTAAGTAGCTTGATTGTGATAATCAGTACACAATCTTTATTTGTCAATTAAATATTTTAGAATTTAAAAAAAACTATATAAATGGAAGAATACTTCCTGTTCATAAAAAAAGACTATTCCCTGCTCATGGATTGGAAAATTCAATATTGTAAAGATGTCAAGTCTTCACAAACTAATCTATAGATATGATTCAATCTTCCTCAAATCCCTAATATATTTGTATATATGTATCTAGAACGTGACCAGTAACTGTCAAATTGACTCTGGAATAGGAATGGCACTCTTAAAGAACAAATGGAAGGTCTCCCCCTACTGGATATCAAGAGAGGTGTAGTAATGAAGAGAGTCTGGCATTGGTGCATGCAAGCTGGACAAGAGGGCCCAATGGGATGGAAAGCAAAACGGGGACCCAGACCCTCACACACACAGGTACTTCATCGAGGACAGACAAAGGAGAGCTGCGGGGACAGGATGACTTTTCCAATCAAAGGTGCCAGGTCGCCAGACAGAGATGCAGACCACATTCTGCAGCCATGTACAAACATCAGCTCCAGATGGATATCAGTGGAAAAGGTGGAATGATAAACTTTACGTGTTTCATCTGTTTTATTGGTGCCATTGTGCTTCTAGTCACCACTGTTGTTTTGGTCTCTGTTTCATGGTCAAAACCTCTATTTTACATAGTCTTAACTTTTGTTTGCCTTCATGTAAAGAACACAACTTAATTGTTTTATGCTTGTACTGAAATTTCAAATTATTTCAATCTCTTTTGTTCTTCAGTTTGAGAACAAAAGATTCATTTTTAAAATCCATTATTTTGATTCATTTTTAAATTCTATTATTCTATTGATTGAATTCATTTTGTTTTCTAAAACCTGCTTAACTACTCTTTCATTTTTCCCTTTTTGCTTATTGTTCATGCATGTTAGCACATTACAATCTTTAGTGTAATCAGCATATACCCATTTCATAGGTATTGTCAGAAGGAAGCAACTTGTGTGATAGTAACATCATTAGGGACATTGAGGGAGACCTTTACCAGGGTGACTTAGCTCCTCAGTTAGAACGAAAGATTCATACAATTTGAAAATGAATTTGCATTCCTTACACTTCTCATACTTCCTTTAAAGTGTGGCCTAGACAGGTGATTATATGTGGATGAAAAGAAAGAGGAGAGACAAGAGAGACAGAGAGTGACATGGAGAATTAGTTTGTGCGTGTGTCTGTCTGTCTATCCGAGAGAGACAGGTTGACATAAGAGAGAATAAAATGCTTAGGTTGGTGGGCTCATGACAGAAAGATGAGGAGGCCCAGAGAAATAGTAAAGAAGAGGTTACCAAGAAGTCACACTGAGGGGTCTTAGGTGAGCCTTCACCAAGCAGCTTCTGAAGACCAGGGAGCTCCAGGTGGGAGGAAAGGGGTGGTAGAAGATGCAACTGCAAGCAAAATTGCAAGATAAGCTCATGAGAATAAATGGCTTTATAGAAAAAGGCAAAAGCGAGCTCTAGGAGGGCATGCTAATGGATCAAGCTGGTGAGATTTGGTTAGAATTACCTTGATGAGGTCAGCTTGGCAAAAAGCCACATCACTAGTGTACAGCTTCTCAGAACTGGGAAAGAACAAGTCAGGTGGAATGAGGAGCAATGATCTACGTCTCAGAGTTCATTGTGTATGTGAAAGGCCAAGAAGGAAAAGGGGCCAAGCTGAGGCAAAAGACATGATCTCTGTGCCACGTAGGCCCCTGGGTGACTCCAAACACATGGGCGAACTTATCACAAGGGACGGGGTTCTAACTTCTTGCGGCATCTACAGGAACCTAAGTATCCCTCCTGGTGGCCAGGCTCAAAGGAGACAGGACCAGTTTGAGAAAAGGACACTGAGTAAAGGCCTCATGTGGCCACGGGAAGTGAAGAAGAGCCAGGAGAGCCTTCCTCTGTGCCTGAATCTTACCTTTCCAGGTTCTCATGTTGTCTAAACCAGAGAGAGAGATTCTTCGTGGAACCAGAGTGCATTCTGGCTTCTTGCTGCTGCCACACCCACTCCACTCCTCTTGGCGCCGTTCGGAGAGATAGCTTGGCTTAGGGGGGCGGGGAGGTGGAGTATTGGACATAATGTCGAGCTCTTTTGCCCCACTGGGCAAGCAACCTTGGTTTTTATCTACCTGAATGGTGGAATTAAAGGAAGTTTCCAGCAACGGTGAAGAAGACAAGTGGTCCCTGAATGGCCCATTCATGTCTCTGCTCCAGATCAGGGCAGCTTGAGGCCTAGTGGACGGCGCCTCCTGCGACCCATTTCCATGGCGTGAGGGGTGAACCAAATGACTGGAGGGTACTGGCTGCAGGCAGTCAACAAAAACGTCATCAAATGAAGCCTGTTCCAATGAGCGATCTGAGTTTGACCAGCTGTCACATCTGGTGGGGAGACTGATGGAAGAAAAGCATGTCAGTTGGACTGAAACCAAACCCATGCTGGCCTCATTCCCATTCCTGCAACATCACCTTTTGTTCTACTTTATAGTAACATTGCCTCTACAGCCCTCAGTTACCCCAACCCCTTGGTGCAGAAAACGAAAAGTGGTTGTTGATTTTTTCATCCTATAAGCATCACATCCACGTGAACTGCAAGGTTAAAAATGAAAGCCACAATGCTGAAATGCATGACTCATTTTGTTTTGTATACCGCATGCTTCATCTTTCACAGCAGTTGATAGCAATCTGTCCCTGCATTGGCATTGGCAGGAAGAGAGGTAGGGCAGACACACCCACTAGAAAGTGCTGCAGCTAAACCGACTAATTGGGCGAGGCACACTGAGCACATCTCGGCTACAGGCTCTGCAGGGGCAGTGTGGACCCTGCAAACTGAGGAGCGCATACTAGGAGGTCTGGCTCACAGTCCTGGGCATAAGCGTACCTGGCATGGTGCAGTCTTCCAGTCTCACAGTTGGACAAAACCAGATAATCAGGAAGGAAGAGAAGCTCTGACTCACTTCTGGTTTCCTCAGTGACTATGGGATGAGTGTTTGGGTCATCTCTTGGCAAGGAGGAGCCGGCAGCACAGGCGGTATGAAGGAAGCTGGCAGAGGATGGCTGGAGGGAGGAGGGCGTGTGAGAGAGGCTTTCCATGGAATCTGCTGGAGAAATCGTTTCTCAGGTTAATGTTGTAAGAATGGCTACAACACTCACTCAAAACTTCTTCAAACAGCGTTGAAGAAGCCAAATAGAAGATGCAAATCCCAGCTGGTGTTTGTACTGATGGAGGAGACCATTTTCCCAAGCTATAAACAACGTTTGGGCAAGAAGACCAATGTTCCCAGAGTGAAGTGTTGAGCCAATTAAGAACAAGAAAAGCAGGCATTCTTGGCATAAAAGTTTGCAGTTAGAGAGTCTACACACAGCTTTTCTACGGCCCTCAGCAGAAGCCCTGCATCATTGTTTATTCATTCAACAAACATACATATATATATACACATATGTATTTATGCTTAACAAGTATATGTGTATATATTTATGTATGTATGCATATATATATTCACAAAAGACCTATTACAGCTGCTATGTGCCCAGAACTGTTCTAATCCTGCTGATGCAGCCAAGACAAAGACCCTGCCTTTACTGGAGTTTACATTCTAGGAGAGGAGACAGACAAATGACACATAAATAGAGAACCCTGTTAATGATCATTATAAGTAAATGGAAGGAAAGAAAGAGGGTGTTGTGATGGCTTGCATTTTTCAAGGAGCACAACACTCGCTCCATCGCCTAAGAACATGGCCCTCAAGATGGATTTGGATCAGAAACCAATGAGAACTCTAGATCAGAAACGGTGAATGAAAAGCCTGCTTTTATTTCGCCTTTGAACTGAGTTAGTAGTTCAGGATGCCTGAGCCACAGTGACTCAGAACTGCCTGGGTCGAAGTCCAGGCTGCTCCACTATGTAGCCACTGTAAACCTGGGCAAGTTCCTGGCCTGACTTCTCCAAGTTTCCTCCTCTGTAAAGTGGAGATTGTAATAGCACACGTGCCATAGAATCGGTATGGGGATAAGACAAGTTAATATGAGAAAGCATCTTGACAGCTCTCTGGTCAGGTACACACAATGTGTTGGCTACTCTATGGCTGCTGGAGACAGAACCACTCTATGTGAAAAGCTATTTTAAAAGTCCTTCAGAAGTAATTCTCAGATGAAGAGGACTCTGTTCTCACGTCATCCTAAAACCTGGGGGGGTCTATCAAGAATGAAAGGGGTCATAGGCGAATCCTCTGGCTTGCTCTGCCTTCACATCAGGGCAGACCTCTGCAGTTTTTGCCTGGTGCCTTACTTGTTCCCGTTGCTCTTGGGTCATTAGGAAATATATTATGTACAGATGTTTTAGGGAAACTCCATAATGAGAAAAGAACCAGGGGATACATATAACACAATGCATGAAGATATATCTCGTTTGTGATGAAGTTGGTCAGAGAAGTTCTGCTTTGTTTGCATAATCAGACTCCAGCCAGGACAGACTTACTGCGACTTGCCATCACTTCACTTCCTTTTATTTGAGTGCTCTCGCTGCTTAGAAATATTACTGAATAGCCTCAATTAATAAGTTTCCCGATTTCGTGAAAACAAAAAGAATGTGTCCTAGGAAGCACACTCTCATGCACCTGTCCTAGAGGGAGAAGCAACCCTGACTCTTCATTGCCACCTAGTGTTATAATTTGGATGTTTCAGTGGCAGAAGGTGAAAACTATACACTAACCCTTGAAATGTTGAAGCAATTGTAGACAGGATTTAGGGGCAAGGTTTTGTCTACTAGATTGAGATGCTAAAAGAAATCAGATTTTAAAATCCCATATTTTGAGGTCCAGTGCATGGTTCAGTAATGCCAGGGACTCAGCAACAAAATTCATGAAGGGAAGTGTTGTAGCCCTAAGTTACAATATACCTGGTACATTTGTGACACTGGGTGGGGGGAAGCACTTCATGGGCCAATTGCTCTCACTGTGCAGAAATGGCCCAAAGCAAACTTCCAGCTCACCTCTCCTGCAGAGAACTTGGGGCAGTTGGAGATTAATAGCAACTCTTTCCTGCCTATGATATGTAGCCAAGTTATTTCTACCATTTTGTGCTAAACAACCCAATAGACACCAGAAAAGCTGGAGTTGCACAAATTTTTGAAACATGGCAATATTTGATATTTCTAGAAAATCATGAGTGTCGTCATCACGGGAAAATCAGAGCCCTGTAGGACATTCTCATCCAAGTTTGACTCAATGTGTGCGTTCTCTGTGGCTGAATGACAGCAAAGACATGAAAGGGTTTTAAAGCCATCAAAGTCACCTGCAGTGTTCCTCAGTGTGTGGATGGATCCTACCTTTCCACATTTGAACCTAAATTGTAGAACCAGGTGAAACAGATCAATTTCCAGGACTATATTTTGTGGGAACAGCCCTGATATCAATTAGCCTGCCAAAACACCCTCAAGGAGGCTGGCTGGACACGCTGAACTGTTTTCTGCAGTAGCTCTCCAGTCCCAGGGTACCCTTTAGCTTACCTGCACCCTCCTCCAGGTGGCCAAGGTTGCAGACCTGACTGATGCTGTGCACCCACACCTGCATTTCTTCCTCAGTTTTAGCCACCAGGTAGAACGTACGGAAAGTGGTCTTGACAATGAACACGAAATTATTCTGAAATTCCTTCCGAACAAAGCCAGGGCCCGCATGCTTCCACACTGCACACTGGCTGAGGTCTATCACCCGGATGGGCTTGCTCGAGTGCTTGTTCCTGTAGTACTCCAAGACATCAGGGTTGCCACTCATGCGTCCCCGCCGGAGGACGAACCAACGCTTGCGCCAGGCCTGCAGAGAGGCAATTCAATCAGGAGTTACTGGACCGATTGCTCTTGTCTCTCGGGCTCTGCCAAGAGCTTGTGTCATGATACAGACAGCAGGAAGGAAGCAAATCAGCCATTCTAAAGATGAAACACTGAAGGACTAGTGCCTCTTCTTCAAGTTGGCTTTATTGGATGATTTAAGGATGGTCAGGAATAGAGAGCCTAGCAATGATCACGCAGCAGTGGGATTCACACCCACAGTTTGAAGGACCGGATTTATATAATCATCACAATTGATGCAGCAAAGGCATGTAATACAATTTTAACATATACTCAGGCTTCTTAGTAATGAAGAACCAGAGGGAGATTTCTCACCATCATCTAACTCAGTTCAAGAGGCAATAGCATACATTCAAATCATATGCAAATCACCAGTGCCCATCATTGCCGGTGTCATCTAACGTTGTTTTTAAGTTCTAGAGAACTGCCCAATGAGAAAAATCATACACACCAGGATGGAGGGGAAGGTGTTACCACTATCTGAAGGTGACATAATTGTAGTGGTGACATAATTGTCTTTCCATAAAACTCAAGAATGATTAAAACCCTAATAGAGTTCTAAGAGAATTAAGTAAAATGGCTGGTTAAGTGAAAGACCATTTTCTAAGTGCTTTACCATAACCCATTTAATCTCCAAAACTATCCTATGGAAGAGGTAACTGTTATTATCTCAGTTTTATGTCTGACAAAATTCAGATTCAGAGAGATAACTAATGTGCCCAAGGTCGTGCAGCTAAACAGCTGTAGGAATGAATTTGAACACAGGTTGGGGTGCAAAAATCAGTGGTGAATGTCAACTAAAAGAAAAAAGGTAGTCGACAAAGTCTCCACCAACAACCACTGGGGAGAGGAGAACCTATTCAGTAAATAGTGCTGGGAAAACTGGCTGGCCACATGCAGAAGATTGAAACAAGACCCCTACCTATCCCCATACACAAAAATCAGCTCTAAATGGATCACAGACCTAAACGTAAAGCCTCAAACTATAAGAACCTCAGAAAATGCAGAAGACACCCTTATGGAAATTGGAAGTGGCAACCAATTCCTGATCAAAACCCCAAGTGCCATAAGAGGTAAGATAGACAAGTGGGACCTCATCAAACTGACACGCTTCTGCAAAGCCAAAGAAACTATCAAGAGAGTGGGGAGACAGCCCATAGAATGGGAAAAAATGTTTGCCAACTGTATAGCTAACAAAGGTCTAACATCCAGGATCTACAGAGAACTCAAATGTGCCAAAAGGAAGAGGCCAGCAGCCCTACTAAAAGATGAGCAGTGGCAGGGGGAGAAAAGTGGGCAAAAGAATGAATAGACATTTCTCAAAAGACAACATACAATCAGGCAACAAACACATGAACAAATGCTCAGCCTCACTAATCACCAGGTAAATGCAAATTAAAACCACACTGAGATACCACCTTACTCCAGTCAGAATGGCCATCGTTCATAAAGCAAAAGAACAACAGATGTTGGCGAGGATGCGGAGAAAAGGGAACACTTCTACACTGCTGGTGGGAATGCAAACTAGTTCAACTTCCATGGAAAACAGTGTGGTGATTCCTAAAAGAACTAGAAACTGCCCTCCCATATGACCCAGCAATCCCCCTTCTGGGAATATACCCAGAGGAACTCAAATCATTCTACAGAAAAGATACCAGTGCACATGTGTTTATTGCAGCACTAATCACAATAGCAAAAGCATGGAACCAACCGTGCTGCCCATCAAAAGTGGCCTGGATTTTTTTTAGTGTATTACATATACACTCTGGAATATTCCTCATTAAAAAATATATTACATATACACTCTGCAATATTACTCAGTCATAAAGGAGGAAAAAACTATGGACTTCGCAGCCACTTGAATGGATCTGGAGTCTTCAATACTCAGTGATTTATCACAAAAACAAAGAACTGAGTATCACATGTTCTCACTCATAAGTGGACCCTGAACACCTCTCATAATACTGCAAGAAAGGGATTGGCAGTAGAGGGACACTGCCGGGGGCAGGGGCCACATAAAATCAATAAGGGTGCTTGCCTTGTACCCCACATCTTTAAAACAAAAAACTTTTAAAAATGAGATAAAAAAGAAAAAAGAGAGAAGTATAACCAACTCTTTAGAGATGTCTGACTGTACAGGGGGAAAGCTCTGGGGTCAAGAAATTGTTTTTGTAAAATGGGAGACACTTAAGCATTCACCCCCTTAGTTACAGTATTTAAGGGGCATCTGAAAAACATGTGGGTTTTGCTTGTCATTAAGGCAGGAAGGGCATGGCAGGATCGTCTGCCCTAAAACTATCAATGCCCCTGTTATGAGACACTATAAGAACTAGAAGGAACTCTCCTTAATGGAATAGAAATCTTGGAAAGAGCCAGGGCTTGACGTAAAATAAGTAGGCAGAGTTTAGTCCATGCCTGGAAAAGAAAAGAGAATATTTCGTGGAAACTAGTGCCAAAATATGGCAGGTTGCTTTTTGTGCCACTAGAAACTACCAAGGAGGATCTCGGGTTCCTCAGCTTTCCACTCACCCTTGGCCTAGAATATTCTGTGTAGACAAGTACCATCTTGGCTCAGTACAAAGAAGGGATGCAGATCCCTGGTCTGGGAAACAGGAATTTGTCATTGACTGAGGCCCTAAGGAATCCTCTGGATCTGCAAACTTCCCGCCCTCTCCTGGAGCCTCTATGTTCCTTGTTTTCATGTGTTTAGGTGCCCTTTGCTCATCACATGCCACCTGGCCAGCCGGCACGGATAGCGTATCCTTGCTTTCTGCTCTAGGGAACTGTGGCATTTGCCCCATTGGGAATTGAGCATAGAAAAGGGTGCCGGGCTGGCTGCAGGGCTTCCTCCCATTGGAGACGCTTCATGTTGCAGTGGAAAGATTTATAGCTCTGTGGTTTTCTCTCCCGTGCAGTGGCATGTGTGACAGCAGGAAGTGTGGGGTTCTGCCAGGAGGTACGGCGACCACTGGGACAGGAAGTCTTTTGTATCTCTAGTTTTTGTAAGCCCGCCAGCGTTGACCAAGAGGCCAGGAAAAAAGGAAAAGCCACCATTTGGAGTGTTCTCAGCTCCCTCCCTGCTCAGAGAACATGAGATCTGAGGTGAGGAAGAATCCTAAGAAGCACTGAAGAGCAAAGGCCAGTCCTCACAAACGACTTGCAAGTATGCCTCAGAGTCACAAGCTCTTTCAGGGCTGTGGCGAGGGGCAACAAGAGAAAGAGGCAGTCACCCCGTGTTGGGCTGGGGCAGGTGATCTCTGGCTTGGCTCTGCCTTTACACACAGCGTGATCTCTGAGAAGAGGTTAGGCCACTCAGGAGGCCAACAAGGCACTGCAATTAAGTGAGGTGTTTTTTTATTTCTGGGTTTTTTTTTTTTTTGAGTTGGAGTCTCACTCGGTCGCCCAGACTGGAGTGCAGTGGCCGCTCCCGGCCACCGCAGCCTCGACCTGCTGGGCTCCGGCGATCCTTCCGCCTCAGCCTTCCGAGTAGCCGGAATTACAGGTGCGCGCTACCACGCCCGGCTGATTTTTTTTTTTTTATGTATTGTAGAGATGAGGTCTCACTGCCCAGGCGGGTCTCGAACCCGCGGGCTCAGGCAATCCACTCACCTCAGCCTCCCAAAGGCGCAGGATTACAGGCTGAGCCACCGGGCTCGGCCTAAGTGGGTTTTTAAGACAGGAGAAGTAACAGCATGTTTGTATGTTCATGGAGGTGACCCAGGAAGGGGGGACGATTAACGATTCAATAAGTTCCTGTGTTGGATGGGAGCGGAGCCAGTAAACATAAGAGAAGGAGCTTGAGTTGTGCAGTGGGTTTTGGAAAACAAGAGGTGGGACATGGGCTTCTGGCATCAACTGAGGCAAGCAGGAGTGTGAGGCCTAGTCCAGGAACTCCCTGAAATGGGGCGGGCCCAGAGAAGGGGCTGGGGGCTGGGAGAATGCCATGCGTGCCTGCTGAGGAAGGCGCTCATTGGGAGTACAGGGTACCCCAAACTTTCCAAAGGCCACTTTGGTGGGGGAAATGTGAAGAGGAACTTTGCCGCACTTCCCAAAAATGATTTTAAATGAGGAAGTCGAACTGAGCACAGAAACAAGTTTCACATTAACTGCTTTTGGTTTTATGGAAACAATAGATTTCTTATCCTTGAATAACAACGATGAGAGAGGTAACAAACAGCAAGAGTTGATTTATTGAGTGCCTTCTCTGCACTATGCGTGCTACTAAATGATGAAAATAGAGCAGGGAGTCAGAGTCGATCCTTAAAAGAGCACACTCTCTAGCTGGGATGGAGGAGAGGGTAGAAATATGAAATGGGCAGATTTCAGATCAGGGTAATGAGTGAGCTCTAGCAGAAGAATCAACCAGGAGTGGTGGGAGTGCAAGGATACTGACAGAGAGAAGTCTGGGCTTCAGCCATTCACTCAACAATTACCTGCCGACAGCCTACTAGTATGCTGGCCACTGCAGACCCTGGGGAAGTTGAGGTGAGCAACCACAGGCACGCTGCCCAAGTCTCATGGTGGCAGGGGAGGTGGGCAGATGGATAAACAGACCATTGCAATCAGTGAGATGAGGGCTATGATAAGGGAAAACACACAAAAGAGACATCTCTGTCAGATCAGTGGTCTGGAGAGGCTTCCAGGAAGAAGTGATGACTAAGCTGAGACTGAAGCAGAGGAGAGGAAGCAGCATGTGCAAAGACATCAACATGGGAAAGGCAAGTGTAAGTAGTTCATCAGGACTGGAAGGTGGGCGGGAACGTGGAAAGGAAAAAGGTAACTGGAACAGAACGCAGCAGTCTTGATGCTCAATCATGCAAAATCACCAGCATGCCCTCCCTTAGGTTTTGTTGTTGTTGTGGGGCTTTTTTGAGTTGGATTCTCACTCAGTTGCCCAGGTGGGAGTGCAGCGACACACTCACAGCCACTCCAGCATCGACCTGCTGGGTTCCAGCCATCGTCCCGCCTCAGCCTTCCGAATAGCTGGAACTACAGATGCACGCCACCACACCCAGCTAATTTTCATGATTTGTTGTAGAGACGAGGTCTCGCCAAGTCGTCCAGGCTGGTCTCGAACCCCAGGCAATCCTCTCGCCTCGGCCTTCCAAAGTGCTGAGATTACAGGCTGAGCCATCATGCCTGGCCTGTTGTTTGTTTTTAGAGAGCGGATCTCTCGTTCTTTCTATCACCCAGGCTGGAGTGCAGTGGCGTGATCATAGCTCACTAGCCTTGAACTCCTGGGCTCCAGCAATCCTCCCACCTCAGCCGCCCCAGTAGCTGGGACTACAGGCTTGTGCAGCAAGGCCAGCTAGTTTTTTATTTTTTGTAGAAACAGTCTCACTAGGTCGCTCAGTCTCACTAGGTCGTCTCAAACTCCTGGGATCTAGTTATCCTCCTACCTCAGCCTCCCAAAAGTGCTAGGATTACAAGTATGAGCCACCATGCCCGGTCTTCTCCCTGAGGTTTTAAAATCTCTACCTAAGAGCTATGGCTATGCAAAAGCAGAAATTATTTGTTCTTAGAGTACTTTGCTAAGTACATGGAACTAGAGGCCATGTTCAGTCCTGTTCCACCAGGCTTACAGGCTTCTGGAAAGTGGAAGACATGTGACAAAGCCCCTGAAAGCAGTCAGTCTGCCACACCAAGGTGAAGGTCTTCACAATGAAACAATGCCACAAGGAATGATGAAGGTCACGTCAAAAGGACTCAGGAGTCAAGCTGAAGAGGCTACCACCGACCATAGATGAAACGATTTTGGCTTTCATAAATACAATCACGTGCCTCATAATGACATTTCAGTCAACAACATACTGTACATATGAAGGTGGTCCCATAAGATTTCATGTCGTATTCTTACTGTACCTTTTCTATGTTTAAATGCACAAATACTGAGCATTGTGTGTTACAATTGTATTCAGTACAGTGACATACTGTGCAGGTTTGTATCCTAGAAGCAATAGGCTATACCATATAGCTTAGGTGCATAGTAGCCTGTACCATCTGGGTGTGTGTAAGTACCCTCTATGGTGTTCTCATCATCACAAAATTGCCTAATGACACATTTCTCAGGACATATTATCACGATTGTATAATAATTACAGTAGCTTGAAATCCATCAAATGTATTTAAATCCATGAGTTCATTGTGTTATTAGAAAAGAAAACAAATTTGGCATCTTCAGAGGGAGCAAGGAAACCATTCCATTACCTTGAAAGCATTAAGAGAAATACGCAAGCATTATCCCACCTTTCCTATGTGAGCAGTCCCACTGGGCAAATGAAGGCAAGTGTCTCTTTATAAATGTAATCTGACTAATAAATGAAAAACAATGAAAGAAGTAAAATATCCCCACTTTGCTAGCCCCAGTGAAATAATAAGTATAGGTATTAAGCCTCAACAGTTGTTAACTCAGGAAGAGAATGAAGCAGACATTCTGTGCTTTTAATAGCCTGATGTGAGGGTACAATCATCAAAAGCCAGTGTGTGGCATCTCTAGTGATCAAAGGCTCTGGTTTGTAGATGGATAAATGATAAGAAAAAGAAAGGCACAGCAAAGGAATCAACAAAATGAAAAGGCAACCAGCAGACTGGGAAAAAAAATTGCAAGCCACATATAAGATAAGCAGAGAAAAAAAAAACCCAACTAAAAAAGGGGCATAGGACCTACACAGACATTTCTCCAAAGAAGACATAAAAATGGCTAGCAGATGCCAGTCTGTTTTCTGTTGCTATAACAGAACATCTGAGATTGGGTGATTTATAAATGATAGAAATTTATTTTGCTTATGTTTCCAGACAAATGATGAGGTTGCAGAGAAAAGGGAGCCCTAGTACACGGTGGATGGGAATGTAGGTTGGCGCAGTGATTATGGAAAACAGTATGGAAGTTTCCAAAGAAATCAATCAGAACTACCACAGGACCCAGCAATCCCTCCTCTGGGTATATGCCCAAAGGAGATGCCGTCACCCACCTTGTAAAGCTATCTGCACTCCCATGTTCATTGCAGCATTATTCACAATAGCCAGGGTTTGTCTGTTGAGAATGTGGCAGATATATATGTGTACGTGTGTGTGTGTGTGTGTGTGTGTGTGTGTGTGTGTGTGTGTGTGTGTGTGAGAGAGAAATACAGCCATCCTTTAAAAAGAAGGAGATTGTGCCACTTGCCACAACATGGATGAGCCTGGAGGGCTTTATGCTGAGTGAATTAAGCCAGGCACAGAAAGACAGATACTGCATGATCTCACCCAAATGTGGAATCTTAAAAAAAGTCAAATATACGGTGGTATGTTTATAAGTATAAATAAGTAAAACAGTAGTTATCAGAGATGGGGTAGGGGTGAGGGGAGGAAATGGGGAGATGTAAGTCAAGGAATACAAAGTAGTAGATATATTGGATGATCAAGTCTAAAGGTATAAGGTACAGCACGGGGACTAGAGTTAAGAACATTAGGTAACCAATTATTGATCAAATCCCCAAAAGCATATGCATAAAAGATAAGATAGACAAGTGGGACCTCATCAAACGGAAACGTTTTTGCACAGCAAAAGAAACCATCGAGAGTGG